TAACTTGATTATGTTGCTAGGAAAAAATAATATTATAAAATCTGTTATCAAACTTATGTCACAGAAGTGGTAAAGGACATATGTGACAACTGAATAGTACCTTTTGTAAATTTTTTGGCCAGGGGTGGGTATTTATTTTTTAATTGATATTTGAGGTTGGGTAATTATTTTTTTTTACTTTTTAATGGTTGGGTCGGCAAAATTTTTGCCACGAAAAACATTTCTCTTCGGTGCACTAGCTTCTTTTAAAATCAATCCGGTATATGTACCACAGAATACCAGTTTTTTATATATATATATATATTGGTCATATAAAAACAAAAAATGGATATTTTCATAAAATTCTTAAAAATAATCGTGATAAACAACACAACAAATAAAATTCCTTATTTTTGGTACTTTTCAGTTTTGCTTAATACATGTTTTTCTTTAAATCTGTGACAAATTTCGCGATTCGTGTATGCCATAGTGCATATGCATCTAATTATTCTGCAATTCAAAATTGAAGCCGTGATTGCAGTCTCAGGTCGTTCCCATGAAATGAGAAGATTCGTATGTTTTCTATTTCTTAAACAGGGAACTTAAACATTAAGTTAACCCTATTCCAAATACGTTTTTAAACTATTCAAATGATGAAAGTTATTGTTGTTTTTAAGCGTTTATGAGCAAGTGGGAACGACCAATATGGCCGCCATCTATTCAAATGGGGGTAACCGCTGGAATATTCTTGGCTTCAATTTTAATAAAAGAGCTATTACACGATGGCTGTCGAAATCAGTTTGATCGTCTGTTTATCAATTTCCCATTTGTAATGCAAAATGAATGAAAAACGGCAAACTTCGCAAGGCTATATTATCCGCATTTTACAACATTTCGCAACGAAACTTCGGAATATTACTAATTTTGTGATGCTCTTTCAGGCTGTGATGAAATATTTGTCCAGACATATCTAGATCAAAATTTCACTCAAAAGGGAAAGATCTATTGCTGCAGAATTCAGCGCAATCTGCTTCGCGTGCCGTGGTTTCCTTGAAGACCTTCTCTGTCAACGACGACTTCCTAATAAAGCTGAAACGTGACCTAATAAGTATTGTCTTGGCTGATAATTTTCTTGGAAAATGGCCAGTAATCATGCTGTATACGTCTTCCTGTTAGGTCAAACGTATTGATTTATTATGTACAGTACTGCCCTCACTACGACGCATCATAAGCATAAACATAAGAATAAGAATACCAAAACGTTGCGTTATTTCCTTGTGCTGATCGGCGGCTATTCAGCTTTAATATGAATGAAATTTCAAAACACTGTGTGTAGTGTGTAAATTGGAATGAATGTTCAAGTATCTATTTTCTTAAATTAACTAGTAGGTACTTATGACACAACAACATACAGTAGACATTTATGCTAACAATAATTATTTTCCATTTTGTGGTCTTGCTGCGAATAAAAGAATTCTCGGCAAACAAATTAAGCCAAAATGATATGTGTTGCGCAATTTGTTAAGTTCATAAGTATAGATATATATTGCAACAATATACTGTAGAAGTTATATATCATTATCAGTCAAGGGCAAATTTGTAACAAGCTTACGCATTAAATGTTGACATGTTCTTCTTTCGAACGCAATAAATGCAAATTAAGTTCCTGTAGGTCCAAATTAGGTTAAAATGAGAAAAGAATGTTCTTGCCGTAGGCGTATGAACGCTTGGTATGTTCTTCCTTTAACGTCATCAGTTAGATATTTCTTCCTTTAAAATGTATATATATATAACCGTGTACCAAATATGTATTTAGAATCATATATGAGTAGAGTGCTCGATATACCGAAGTATAGAGCTAATATAGTATATACTATATACATGTTTGACGTAAACGGAATGTTCAAGTATTAAATTACGTACAGATTACATATATATACAGATTATATTTATTAATGTATATTGCTTAAGAGAAATTTGTTTCTATGTCTGCATTTCGACAAAAGTTCACTTCTTGAATTTAAAGAACAAAGTTCAGGGTGGTAGATTTTGTCGAAATGCAGACATAGAAACAAATTTCTCTTAAGCAATATACATTACTTAATATAATCTGTATATATATGTAATCTGTACGTAATTTAATACTTGAACATTCCGTTTACGTCAAACATGTCAGACATTTAAATTCACCTGATGAGTGTGGCAAGCATTGCTTGTCATACGAAACAAGTTTGTAGTGAATAAATCTTATGAAGTAAACCAGGTTTATTTTATCATTATCTATATAACCGTGTATGTAGATTGTAGGTAGTTGTTATAGTCATTGTCGTAGTACGTATCTGAAATAAAGTTGTGTGAAATTTACTGGTTGTCACGATTGAATGAAGAATAGAATACAGTCCCAAGTTAAGCGAGCGTGGAAGACCTATATACTAGCGGGGTTTCCACAACAATATGGCTCAATAAAACCCACCCATACTCCATCATAGGGCACAATGAGACATGGTTGAATGACGGCTACTACTAAAAAGCGATACAGCGATACAACGATACAAATTGCACCACAGGAGATATACATAATAATAATTTACAGGGGGGAGGGCGCAATTCAATGATAATATACAAATTGCGCGGCGATTCTTTTTGTGTTTTGTTAGTTTATTTACTGGCCGCCGCACTTGATTATGAAATCCCAGCCGACAGAGACGGAAACCACGGCACGCAAAGCAGATTGCGCTGAATTCACTAGCAATTTATAAGCGACTTAAGTGATTTTTACTCAATTGTTCAAGTTAAGAAATGGTTTTGTCGGTATACATTTTGATAAATATGTTATGTCTCCCTTACCAAAGCAAAAGTATGGGAAAGATATGGCATATAATTCCCATATATGGGAATTATATGGTAGTCCACACTTGGTTGTGCCATATACTTCCCATATCTATGGGAATTATATGGAGTCTGAACTTGGTGTGGTTCTCATGGCCTCCAATAAAGAATCCATACATATGCATATGATTTCTATGGCAATGCTATGCCACCACTTACGAAAATTTCCTATAGGAATTCCTATAAGAAATGAAATTCCTATAGGATTTGAAAACTCCTATAAGAATTCATATAAGATTTGAAAATGGTGAAAAAATTCCTGTAGGAAAACGAAATTCCTATATATATACTAATATACATATAGGAAATAAAAATTCCTATAGGAATTCCTATAGGTTGGAAAATAATTTCATTGGGAGAGGTAATTGCACCAGTCAATATGAATTAAAATATGTTAGCCTTAGTGTAATGCCAGGAAAATTCTCCATATTTTGTATGAAATTAACATTTAACTATGTGATGGTATATTCAAGTTAACGAGACTCTTTACTTACATTTCACAGGGGCCCCGGTTCAAACTTTTCAAGGCCCCCCTAGTAAAATTGCCAGAGCCACAAGTCGAGCGCCGTATATGCACAAGTTTTCTAGTGGGTCCAGAGCATGCTCACCCAGAAAATATTTGAATCTAGACTCTCTGAAATGCCATTTCCCAGACTTCGGGGAGAGATTTTACAGAATTCTGATGGTCACAGAATGGCATTGTTGCTCTATAGGCTATTAGCCTGAGCCTGGGGGCCCCCGTTGGGGTTGGGGGCCCCCGGGTTCTCCCGGTCCGAGCTTATAGTAGTTACGCCACTGATCTCGCTGTCCCCCTGTGTTATGTGTAAACTCATTAAGACCCAATTCACACTAATCTGCTCTATTTCAAATCTCAATATTTTGGCCTGTCTAACACCAGACTATTTTGCATTGTTTGTTGTTAACACCTTTGATAGTTAATTATCAGATGATTTTACTCATCAAGATGAGTGTTGGTTATTGAAAGGTTAATAATTAACTGCAAAAGCTGCTGTGTTGGCATATTTAGAAGCAATGTGCCCTACTTTTAGTACTTTGTTATTTTATTAAATATTTGTTCCATTAATGTTCCAGACTCTCCACTTAACAAATAAAATTGTCTGTCATTAGACATATAGTAAAACATAATGATTTTACAGAGTAAAATATAATTTGGTTTTGTAAGGGGATATTCCAAAATCACTGTCACATCTATTTTCATCAATTTAGTGTTAAAATGACAATCGTTTCAGACGTATTGTGAATGAACATTGGAAGAGATGATCAGGCAGGTTTTCGTCTTGACACAATGACAACTCATCGCCTACATGGCACATTATGCTTAAAGAAGCCCTTACAACACGTACGGATTATGGACATTATCTAAAACCAAAGCTTTTGGTAGACAAAGCAATCAACCGTGAACAACCACCTTCTATGCAGCCACCATCCGATATTATCTTGTCCCCGAGCCGACGGCGCGCGCCGTGCGAGGGTACTAATTCCCCCAGAAGGGTGAAAGAATCGGCTAAAACAAGGGAGCCGACATTAACGAAGGTAAATTTGTTTTAAATATTGATTTTATAATGGGATTTAAAACCCGACAGCCTTTGCGTATGTGAAACAACTAAACAAGACAGCATATAATTTCAGGTGTATCTTTAATTGAAATCATTTTATTGCAAACTCAAAGTTTATCGATAAAGCCATCTAATTAAAGGCTGTTTATTTTTATAAAGAACACATTAAAACGTTTTGCGAAGCATTTGTGGTTGAATGTACCTTAAATTGAAGCTTATATTATGTATAATAACATACCTATCATATATATGTTGGGAAATTGATAATTTTGTAATAATATTGATAATATTGATAATATTGATAATTAATATTATCATTATTAATATTATTATTAATATTGATATTATTATTATTATTATTATTATTAATATTGATAATTTTGTTTTTTTAATTAAAAGTGATTTTTAGGCGATTTGTACTTCATGTTCGGAAGGCGATGGTTTCTGCATGCATGTATTTTCTAGTCTGTATACAAGAAATACGAGAATATTCCATCTGACGATGTAGTATGCGCAACGTCTGAAGACGTCCTCCTGCCTGTTGGAGAAACAAGAATGTGGTTTGAGCACTTACACCAAGTTAGTCTCAATCGAAAAAAAGGTGCGAAAAAAGCTGCTTCCACTCGATCCAAGAGAAAGGCAAAGGACAAGCATCCAGTACCTGATGATGCAAATGAGGACGTCTGTGCATCATGTGGCGAATTAGAACCCCCAGAGGAAGAGGACAAAGACTGTACTTCGGCAGAGGTGCACTGGATAGCATGTGACGGCTGTCTCAGCTGGTACCACGTTCAATGTTGTGGGCTAATAGTTGCGAGAATGTAAGTTCACTTTCACACTTGCTATGTCTCAATTGTAAGGAGTCTTGGGACCCAAACGCTTAATAAATGTAGCAGATAGATTGCTGATGATACATTAGGATGAACAGTTAATAACTAGGATTATATCTCATTTGTGTCGGTTTTCTTTGATCGTCCGAGGTTTATAACTAGCTAATATACCTTGAATAAATAATTACATCAAACTTTTCGACAAAACACGAGAATTTTTCATCAAAAATTTTTGAAAATGACAAAATATGTTAGAAAACCTCCACAAATGAGATATAAGTTAGTTATAAACCTTGAAAGTCGGTTTATAACTGATATATTGCCCTTGGACGCTACGCGTCCTCAGGGGCAACATATCAGTTATAAACCTCCTTCGGTTGATATGCAAACTTAAAATTACACCACTAAAAGTATTCTAGTATAATTTAATTGTGTACTTATTGCAGTCTGACTCCTTGTCGGCGCTTTTGATATCAGCCTATCCTGCTACCATGTTCCTAGCTTCTGCTCTAAGGAGTGGCCATCACCCTTGTGAAAACATTCAAAATGACCAGATTGGCTTGGACCTTCAGGGAGACGGATGTTTCGATTGTTGCGAGGAGCCTACATGACGTGGTGGCAGTTCAGAAAATGCCTGAATGAGGTGTCTCTCCTCTGCACCCACTTATTAGAAGTCCACTCAAGCCCCCAATTACCGTATCATTACTCGAGAGTTAGTTAACTTTTAACAACATTCTGGTATAAACGCCGCCAGGTCATGTAGGCACCTCGCAACAATCAAAACATTCGTCTGTAGGTCCAAGCCAATCTGGTCATTTTGAATGTTTTTATGGGGGTGATGGCCACTAGCCTTAGAGCAGAGACTAGGAACATGGCAACAGGGTAGGCTGATTAGTTGATATCGAAAGAAGGAGTCAGACTGCAATAAATGCACAACCAAGTTATACTAGAATACTAAACAACCTGCAAAATTCCAAATTATATCTTTATCGTCAAAGGTATTTGTGTCATTTTTAACATATGGTATATTATTAAGATTATACCTTCCCTATCACCTGACGTATAGAGTGCACTAGAAACAGAATGCTTCGGGAATACAATTTCATCCCGGGGTGGGGAATTTTGCCCAGGAATTTTGTCCCGAGGGAGTGGCATTTGACATTTTTTTGTAAAAATGTCAAATCCCCACCCTTGCCCCCCCCCCAATATTTATAGTTGCAATATTAATTAGTATTTATTAATATTTATATCTATTTTTTGCATTAAAAAATTAAGAGTGATGAACAACATTGTGTGTCATTTACTTTTTCATCTAGATTCTAGAATTTCTGCAGGAATACCCAAAATCTTATAGGAAATTAGGATAAATTATTTTCTTATGGGAATTCCTATAAAAATTTGGGACTAGGTTCCTATAGGAATTCTTGGTCACGTGGTGTTGTTCCATCTGAATGGAAAAAAGCATGCACAATATCAATTCACAAGAAAGGAGAAACGAACGACCCAGCAAACTTTCAACCAATTACACTTGAATCCATTCCGCTTAAAATCTTCACATCATGTCTTCGTAATAAAACATTTGAATTCCTCTCAGACAATAATTACATAGAACAAAACATCCAGAAAGGTTTCACTCCAAAACTCTCAGGAACACTAGAACATACTGCTCAGATGGCACATATAATCAACACAGCACGTACGAAGAAAATCAAATGCTCTTAATCATTTTACAATCTGGTGTCAATGGGCTAATACGATTATACGCGTTGACAAATGTTCAACATTTGGCATTAAAAAACAATTAACTAAATCTATCCAGTATTTACCCAAGCTTTTCGTTAATTTGGTCTGAATATTATTCTCCCTTCACAAAATTTATCCAATGTCAAACTGTCTCTCGATCAGCTCTAAAATACTCACCAAATGTAGATATTAACAGTCTATGGGCGGTTACGAGCATCAACAAGAACATACAGTATGACATTTACAAGGACACAAAAGACATACTTAAGGCAGTTAGAAAAGAAAATGAAGAAAGACTTCAAAACCACCTCATTTTGCAAGGTTCTTTCTTTTCCAGTATCATGAATAACCCATATCAGCTTGATGGCGTCGTTGTCCCCTTGATCCTCTAATGCATGATACTGCAGATCTCATTAAAGCGAAAGAGATATGGCACCGCATCCACACTAAAGTAGTGTCATATGAAGACTTCTGTTTGTTTGCAAGGAGATCAGCAAGTCTCTTATAGACAACGTGCTCACCATATTCTCGTTTCTTATCCAACTCATGTTTTCGGAATTGGGCAGCAACACTGGTGTTACGATAACTTGGCGCATTTGGGTGGAAAACCCGAACATCAAAGAATGCGCTTTGTCGTCCCCAGAAACCGATGGTCTTAATATCAACTCGGGCATCATCTTGCTTATTCGCAGATCAAGGTAGAATAATTTCTCCTGAAAGGGGCTGTAGTTGCAGTTCAGTTTCTGTCTCTCTACAAACTTCTTTTAACCAACTTGCTGTTAGATCCTGGATTTCATTATGCCAAGCTATAATTTCTCCTGAAAGGGGCTGTAGTTGCAGTTCAGTTTCTGTCTCTCTACAAACTTCTTTTAACCAACTTGCTGTTAGATCCTGGATTTCATTATGCCAAGCTATAGTCATACCTCCATGAGTACAGATCATGGCATGATCAGTCGAAAACCCTTTTCCGCATATGCAGTACTGGGGTACTGGCAGTACTTTCATTATTATTATTATTATTGTTATTATTATGCAGTACTGGGGTACTGGCAGTACTTTCCTTATTATTATTATTACAGTACTGGCAGTACTTTCCACATATGCAGTACTATTATTACTATTATTACTATTATTACTATTGTCATTTTTCTTCATCTTAAGTAAAGCATATCACACTGATCAGACGTCAGATAAAAGATGTGTAAATTTAGCAGCAAACCTTACCTTCTCAATCATCACAAACCGGAAATGTTTCTGGGTTTGTAGTAGCACGAACTGGGTGCGTCTACATACATCCTGCTGTAGAAAAATTGTAATGTTTGGCTGCACAATTGTTTGTTATGGACAGTATATATACATTTTTTACATCAGACATGATTGTACTGTATGTTGGTTTTACATAGGACCCAGTCCTGCTGACCATACATTCAATCATTGTTGTATATTTTATAGCACTTTTGTGTGATTGCATAGTAAAATTAATATCACTGACTGCACTGGACAAAAATGTACTATGTTAAATGACATGGCATGATTGTTTGTAGCCTGCATCACAGATGCTCGTGGGCGGAAATGAGGGCGCTACGTAGTGTCTGTGCATCAGTGCCAGGTTACGTGCAGGGTTCGAATTAATTCTGAAAAAATGGTTCGTGAATTAATTTTTTTATTTTAAGGAAATTTTAAGGAATTTTCTCTAATTGGAAGTTAAAAAGTGGAAGCACTGCAATTTTCAAATATATAATATACATCACAAAGAAATAGAATTTTGGGTGGAATTATAATCGTTTTTAAGTACAATCAACAAGAATATCTTCAGAATGTATGATCCTTCATCACATTTACAAAGAACTGAATTTATTATTGTATATTTTTATCAGTTTGAGAGACTTTCGATTCGTGATTTTGATCAATTTCTATGAAATTGGGTTCGTGAAAAATGAAAATTGATTCGTGATTCACGAATCACGAACCGTTATTTCGAACCCTGACGTGTTCTACAATGTGTGCAAATTATGCATGGAATAAGACAGGGGAAAATTATTTAGATTGTGATTGTGAAAGTTAATGAAAAGCATTGTGTCGAAGGTAAAGGAGCTTTCAAAGTAATTCCTGAACTGGAAAGTTTTTCTTTCAAAGTAGAAAGAGTGAGCTCTTCGCTAAAAAGAACAAGTGATATCAGTTTGGACAGTGTTGGTATTAAAATACATTGTGGAAATGAGGGTGAACGTTCGCCTAGTACAAGCACAGAGCGGCCATCTTCAGTTCTCATTGCAGTTCACCTGTACGTCCAGATAATATACCTCCACAATGGCCTGTGACCCCAATTAAGCATAGAGAAAACTCAGAAGAGGGCCCTAAATCTACGAATGTGTATGTGAAAGTCGAGGGGCCCAGTAAAAATGCTGAACGAATGTTACCAGGTGATCTAGAGTCGCTAGGAAAAATGCTTGTACGAGGAACATACAAACAGATAGCGAACGCACATGGAAGAACATAAACATCAAGAAACAACTCCAACTGTTAATGTTAAATGACATAAATCGAGAATGTTCTAATCTTTGCTCAAGGAAAAATCCAAGCTGTCTAAGGAGCCCGAATAAGGAAAATATGTTGAAATTTTCAATCGAACATTTTAACAAGGAACTGAAGGAAAGAGCCCCATTGACATTTTCCATGTAAGTTGCTGCTTCTGTGAACCCTCAAAGTAGATCCATGACAAACAATGACAATTATTAATTACAATATTCAACTACCACTCTGGATGGCAGGTGTGTATATCTATTTTCATTTTTAATACTATACATATTATTTTAGAATATTTTGGTGTTACTGTTCGATATTGATAATATAAGGAAGATAATTATTGAAGAAAATGAGTGTGTTAGTCGAGTGAGAGAGCAAATCGATGCCCTTGGAGAATTCGATATCGTCAGCATCTTGTCTGAAGGTCTAAGTTTGACCAAGGCTGAAATACTTCAGCTCCTTTCTGCGAAGCTGACCTTTCAAAGGGTGTGCAACATGAGGAAAGCAATCCAACATGTTCCATCAAACACCATTCTTTTAATGAGCTATGTGCGTCGACCAACCTTCACTGAAACCTTCTGTCAATGAGCTTTTCAATTATATGCAAATTCTCGAACGCTGGTGGTGTTCATCTTTCCTTTCTGTTCAAGATTTAACGACCCATATAGAATATAAATACATTTCACCGCCACTTTCCTCATGCACTCAATGTGACAAAACTCTGCCTTGTTATTTTTGAATGCACAGTACAATAAAACTGATTTTGAATTTAGCACATTTTCCAATATTGTCTGCATTTTTGTTTAAAATCACGAAATGTGCCTCAAAGTACCCTCCGCAAGGATAAATTTGCTATTTGCGACGCTGTGATGTTGTTAAACCAGAAATCTCTAAACTTAAAATAAAGTTTATCAACTTATAGTATCTCAAACGCTATTTGCCTATTAAAAATATCATATGACACACAATTTTAATTCCACGGCAAAACTGCTGTTGCGCAAATAACAAACGCGAGATGAAGTATGTATGGCAGTATTACAGTTTAGTAATATTGCATTAAAAGTGGTAAAAGTTGGTGTGCTAACCAAGATTTCACTGTATTTGTTTGCTAATGTTGCTATATCTCAAACGCTATTTGCCTAATATCAGCCAGATTTAACCGGTAGTTTGTGTGCAGATATTCTCATTTTTGACATTTTGTTAGGGGTGCACCAGATAGTGACTTTCACTATCCGGCCAGATACCGGATATTTTGCCAGTTTGAATACTTGACATATAATATATATTTATAAGGATTTTTCTCATCCATGTATTAGTGCAGAAGAAAGAGACACTATTTTTTTAAATTTTTGAGTAAATAATCAATTATGGTTAACTAAAACTCTGTTTTACAGTAAAATTTTCCATCGTTCATGTGTTTCTGAAAACTTCCGAAAGTTTTTGAGCGATGGGATTTAGTACGGCTTTCGGTGCCAAACGCTGCAAATAGTTAATTAATTCAATTAATCATATCAGTGCAGCCAAATAATAGTAAATATCCGGCCGGATAGTATGATTTTGTTACTATCCGGTGCACCCCTACATTTTGTTATTGCTTGGCAATGTTTAAGGGCCCACAGTAATTGGTTTTAAGCTGTTGTGGTGTGCCCGCCTTTTTGTTGTTGTCAACTTTATGTTGTTGCATGTTACCTTTTTGTCCAACCTTGAAATGTGGGAGGAAGCTTTCCAATGTTGGGCTCATAAAATTCAAGCATATTAAAATGAATGTGTATGATTCTAAAATTAAACCATCCTAGATTTAATTTTGCAATCATGTACGATCGGTTGAAGTTTTCGATTTTGGGGTTGGACAGAAATGGTTAGGTGTACGTGTTGTTCGATTGTGTAATTATAGGCGAAGCTAAATAAATAAATGTCATCACATACTACACCCCATTATAAAATATGTGACTTCGAGCCACTCGGGCAATATATTTTGATAGAAAACATTGATTTGTCTTCTAAGGGCCACATATTTGCAAGCAAGGTCTTATTTCTTATAGACAGGGATAAATTTCCCCATATAAGCCTGTCTGTCATGTGATACCACTTGCGATACCCCCTCCCCATTGTGACTATGTGACTCCTGTTCAAACACTCCCCTACCCCCATGAGCGTTACATTTATATAAAAACCAAAAAAAAAAATATTTACTAAATTAGTACATATCTATATTATAACCAATTTTCACCTATTGGGATATGAATTAGAAAATGATCAAAAATTATAAAAAATACTCCTTTGCTTTTTTGGGCAAGATGTTTAGAACATGAAATTTAGAACAGTAACTAAGTGTTAAAATTCAACAAAGTGTGCAAGCCAAAACACAGTGCTTGTACATCTTTGGAGTTTTTAATTACCTCAAATATATTTAAAAGGACATACGGTACTAGAATCTATTTGTTTTCAATATAAACCAAGGATGGGAAGGTGAGAAAATAGGAATTTTCCGAGGTGTTTTTAACACAGACAATGACAGCCGACATTTTCAAAGGCAAATTGCGGTGACAAAACCAAAAGTTATTCACTTCTCTACTCAAAGCACTTTTAGCTCAATTTTCTCATGTTTCTGTTTGGAAAGAAACTGTTTTTAGCCAAAATTATTTTGCGCGCCAATGTAGGCTGCTATAAAATGTCAGACACGCGTTCTCTCTTGAAGTCTGGCTCTGAAAAACAATCGCTTTTTTTTAGTTTGAAATAAGCTTTCATTAGGACTAATTGTGTAGAAATGTTATCTGTATGCTCAAATGAGAAAGATAACCTAATAGTCAGGTATTCAACATAGCTATAAAAGGGTGAAATAAGGACTTTCATCTTTGGTTGTTTGTCAGACATGAGAAACCACATTAGTGCCATTTTGTCGCGCGTGCTATTTTATAAAATAAACACCTCAAAACCATAAACTTTTAGTTCAGAAAATTACAAAGTTTCCCATAGACATTATTAAAAATGTTCTAGTGAAACGATTTCATGATAAATAAGTGAGCAATGGGCCCGAAAGGACGGCTAAATTATGTTTTTGTTGGGACTTCAGTTTCATGGCTTCCCGCAAAGGAAGCCATTTCAGAGAGAAGCGACAACAACGGCAAACAACCGTCGCGACCTATTTTGATAACTTTTCCTTCTGATTCAACATGTAG